TCCATTTTTCCAGGGGGAATAATTAAGCTTCAGGGACATTTTGTAAAGGGGGGCCGGCAAACATGATTGCGCCACACATGCTTTCAATTCTCAAGATGTTACGAGCTTTTTAATATGGATGCAAAGTATCTACAATATTTAGAATAATTCAGGTAAGGATGGTTTTATTTCTGTTGACATACATGAAGGCGTTGAGCTTTTTAGTATTCGATATAGGAGTATTATAACAATGCGATTTCATGAGTTTAATAGCCCACTGATCGATTGGTGAAAACAACATTTAAGGTCATTTAACAATGTATAATGATAATTATTATTAATGTTGCAATCTGAATATTTTGACACTAAAAATGCAAACATGCAGTGTGCCTCTACTGGCTCTAGCAATGTAAATAAATTAAATGTTAAAATAAACCAGTTTATGATCTTGAATCGTCTTGATACTGGTTTGATATTTGCAATTAGGGGAGAATAACAACTTTTGGCCATACGGCAGCATTTCTCCCTTGCGATAGTAACTTCTAGTTGTAGTTGTTTTTTGGGGCAACACAAACGTGACCTACGTTCATGGAGTTCAATAGATCGCGAGCTCAGGTCAAAATGGTCGCGATTTTAGGAGCGGATGATATGCAACAGAAAACGCTTTGTCTTGAAAACGAAGTCCGCCAGTTTGCCGCGCCCTATCTCCGGTTCCATGCACCCAACAAGAATAAAAAATACTACCGTTCGATTCAGCGTTTAACAATCTTTACATATCACCAAGCGATGTATAGCCACTTGAAGCTAAAAGAAATTTTAATGTCACTAATCCTGTAAAATATTTAATATGTCGTACTTTTCGTCGCTTACAACTTCTGTTTCTTGAATCTGTACTTCTTGGCTATACTACCAATCGATAGCCCTTTGAAACTGGCTTTATATGACCCTCTTTCGAAGGCGACGATGCAAAATTGGCTACATAAAAGCCATGTTTACAATTCTGCTGAAACACAGTGTGCGACTAACAAATACTAAGCACGCTACAAGGTTAGATACAGTACACTACACACGTAAAAACGCACCAGTTGTTGCAAGTCTGCAAACAAAGTTGTTACAAATCTGTTCACAAGCTGTCAACAAGTTGTCTTCGCTCTGATTGTTCCCAGTTGTTGTAACAAGCTTGATGGCATTATCAGACTTGTCACAAGATTGTTCTAACAAGTCTGATATAGTCATGATAAACAAGAATGTTACAAGGTTGACGACACAAGGTTGTAACAATACTGCTATATCATGACTGTATCAGACTTGTTGGAACAACCTTGTAACAAGCCTGATAATATCAACAATGTTGTTGCAAATTGTTAACAGCTTGTTCCAAACTTGTTGACAACTTGTGACATGCACAGGCCTTAAAATATCTTTCACAGGACCGTCTGACAAAATGTCCGGTGACATTGAGTTTGGGTCGGACATATGTCCGATGACCTTCAGTTCAGTTTTGACTCGGAAATAAGTCTGAATGACACAAATGAATGTGAGCACAATGTATTAATTCTGTACTGTAAATGTTGTGAAGAAAGTTAAATTTTGTGTCTTTCATACTTATTTCCAAGCTAAAATTAACTTGCTTTCCAGAACAGCAGTATTAAAAAAGACTTCGACAACTTAAGCCATTTTTCCACTTCACCATTTCGTTCGCCGCCCCGCGCTCGACTACGTTAAAACAACATTTCCAGTTCACCTTTTATACAATAGTACTCTGATTTTCCATTTAACATACAAGCCTCTAGTCCTGGGCTAGGGTACATTTTGATTTACGTTGGACAAAGCTACAGTTCGGTCGGACACAAATGCACTCAGGTCGGACAAACAATAAACCTCAGTTTCACTTAGGTCGGACAGAATGTCCGGTGGTTTCCTCTCTACGTCGGACAATTTCACGAATGGGTCGGACAATGTCCGTGACCGACCGATATTTTAAGGCCTGGACATGCAGTGCGAAGACAACTTGTTGACGGCTTATTGACAAACTTGTTACAAGATGTGAGATTTTTGCGTGTGTAGAAATCAATTCTACGAGTCAAAGTACCCGTATAGCGTGCTTCCCACGTGTTTCAAAGTCCGCGTGAAATTTCGCTCTGAATCACATATGCACATGAAGGCTCCCGGTTTATATTTTAATGCCTGGCTTTGGCTGTACGCGTTTTGCCACGTCGAAGGCCAATATTGCTTATGTGTGATTGCTTTCATATTCTGGCGTAAACCAAGGAGCGATTCGAAGCTGTTCTACCAGCTGTCCTGCATCCCCACTCCCTTCTCTATTATACCCCAGCTATACAGTAATACGCATATGTCGTCATTTTGAGGCCAGTGTGAACGCCTGGGCAGGCGTCTTGTTTTATTTTACACTCCTCTTGGAGAAACCTTGCACTGTTTTGTCGAGTCAAACTGGAATCACTAGTTTTTCCCATGTGACTATAATCACAAGACTGAAATATGACAGGAATTGATCACCAGTCGTAGTCTGTGCCTCCAACACCCCATTTCTGGTAACGTTTCCTTTTTCTAATACTATATACTGTAGATCACATATTTCGATATGTACCACATATTTCGTCAAGTTGGTTTCCGAGGACTAAAACCTGGTTCACACTAGCAATTTTGTCTGCGATTTTCCCTTTCCCCTCTTGATGCGAATGAGTGAAGCCAAAAGTATGGAATCGCGTTTTGGACCTATATATTTCTAAGTCTATTGCATGTCACTCATTCAGTCACATCCGCCAGGAGGAGAAAAATCGCCCACGAAATTGCTAGTGTGAACCAGGCTTTAGAGCCCACTAACGAAACATTAGATTATCAATTAATCTTTTTAACTACAGGGAAGGAAGATCTTACTCACATTTTGTTGTTTAATTAGAAACGTCAAATGTCAGACCTGAATGTGAATTGTAACCGGTTCTATATTTGCATTTTTAGTTGACCGGAAGTTCACTGAAACAAACTGATGAACTGTTTGATACTGTAACACGGTTAGCAAAAGATCCACGTGTAGACAGGTATGGTATGTTTTGTTTTCAAGATTATTGACTTTCTTTAGACTAGAGAATCGAAAGAGCATCGATTAACTCACTTTACAAATGTCAACGGTAGAACATAATCTAATATACCCTATATTATTTTATTATTTGTGCATGCCTAGTGATATTTTTTATTTCCTGCAATCTGATTGGCTGCAGCAGCGGGCAGCTTTTTACGATATCTTGACCGTGGTCCAAAAGAGTTATTTTTTAGCGACAAACCGAGGAGTGAAGACAATTTTCAAACTCAAAACACTA